TATATATATATTTTATAAACTGTTATTTTTTTTATTATTTTATCGATGAGAAACTTATTTGTATTTTTTTCTCAAACAAAAATTCTAACCTTTCATACAACAAAATCTGTTTTTATATATCACACATTAATAATTCAACCAGATCTTCACCAACCAGCCTTCACCAACCAGCAAAGCACTATTTATCTATTTTTCTTTTAGTTGTACGGGGTTTTAAATTGTGGCTACGATTACAGTTTTGTTGCAATATTAGTTGTAAGCAGATGTGAACAAATACCACCAATGGAACAACAATTTTGATTACAATAACTCCAAAATATTTGACGTTAGTGGCCACCACAAAATTTTTCTTAAAACTTTGATCGTAATTATGGGAAAAAAGCATCTTTTTGTGGGACTTAACCAGATGTTCTTCTAAAACAATTCATCTCCATTGGCCTATGATTGAGTAGCACTTCCCCAGACACTTTACATGGGCATATCTCCCATCAAGAATTTCAAAAAAGTGTGTTTGAACTTGGAACTTTTTGAGTTTGAGTCAAATCAAGTTGGCTGCACAATTTGTATGATAAATTATTGGTGTTTAATTATGATAATATATATGTATAGGATACCATACACATTTAATATGATAATATGATTATTTTAAAATATATAAAATATGATACATATGTATTAATGTTCATAAAATATAATAAATATCCAATTATAATTTTAATCAAATTTTATAAAAACAATAAATATATACTGATACTTTTGCAAATCCAAAATAAAAATATGATTTCTGTAAATTTCTAAAATAATATCTATTATAAATTAATTCCTATTATTTCTAAATAGAAATAATACTATCAGTATGATTTCCTTCTTAAACTCATTCATATAAAAAAGTTTTTAATTTTATTTTATCAAAGAATAATATTTTTATATTAAACATAAATATATCTTATTTAACTGTAATGGTTCATAATTTTATTAAAGATTTAGATATTTTATTAATAAATATTGGTAAAGTATTCAAAAGTATTGAGATCGAGTAAGATTTTCATATTTTTTTTTTTAAAGGATTTAATACTTCACAGTACTATCCGAGAGTATTAATATGAAATATGAATATGTGAACTATATTGAAGTATTTCATGTTTTACAAGTATCTAATGTATATAGGAATTTTGGGTATATGAAATTGGTTCAAATGAATAGTAACCTCACTGTAAGTGTGTATAATAGTTGCATTGAAGTTGAAACTTAAAGATGTCTTTTGTACTATTACAACTTTACCCTTTTAAGGTGAATTCTCTAAAAGATGAGTAATGCAAGTGATGTATTTATTATCATGAAAATTGACTATTAGATGCATCTAATCCTATTAGCATATTATATATCTTGTCACAAAATCTAATCCCTCCACTATTATTGTACTGTTTTTCTTCGAATTTTTTACTGAAATAATTTTTTTAAAAAAAAATTACCTAAAAACACCTATTCTAATTTATTTACACAACTAGCATGTTTTACTGTTCACGTTCAGAACGAGCCGTTCTGATATCAAAACGGGTCGTTCCAGATAAAAAAAAATAACACATGATGAATTGATCAGAACGACCCATTTCAGATTAGAACAGCTCGTTCCAGATTCAAAAATAACACACGACTAGTTGAATCAGAACGGGTCATTCTGAATTCAGAATAGACCGTTCTGGCCACTTCTGATAAGTCGACATATGGAACAACAGACGTGCGCACACATTGATGCCCATTGTTTCACACATGAGAATACATGGAATGGTACATGGCCAATTCCATCTATTTCCTATCTATGCCACGACTACTACAAGATTCAAGGACCCATCAACGACGAAGGACTTCCACAACATTTGAAATTGGTGCAACTTCCATGCGATCGTATGAAGAGACTCATCAGCATGTATCAAATCCTCCACACAACATCACCCCACAAGAATACATAATTGACAGAAGGTAATTGTTTGCAACAACTTCAGAGAATTTTTTTACAATTTTTTTTGGAGTAGATTTTAGAACTACATCTTCAGCACAATCATACATGCAATCTCTTTACCAACTCGAATTCGCTAATGAACCTAGTAGTTCTTCAGCAGCATTTCAATAACCAGTGCTTGAGAATGAACCAAATCCTTCTTAGCAACAACCTCCACGGCGTAATCTAGGCTGTAACAGACGTCACCCTCGTTGTGGAACTGGATACCATTACAGAGATTAAAAAACTTATATAATTCACTCTATCTTAATGTTATCATTTTTTACTTACTAACAAGATGTATTTACTTGTTAATGCCTGATCAATTAAGAAATACACAATTAAATGTGTTTAACTTGTAGTGATTTACGAATGGGTGGTCATTCGAGAAGTTTCCCAAAAAGTGTGCTAGTGGGAATTAAGTATGTCAAAAAATCTTATGTTGATTTGTGATAATAGTCGTTCATCTTAAAGGCGACCAAACATTTTAGCAAGGGCTATCCATGGAGAGTCATAATGGTAAAAAGTTCTAACTAACAATAAAATTTAATGCATTATGTCTCTTTATCAATGTGTTCTTACTGGAATCTGTCGTAGAGATGATTCGCAAGGTAAGATCGGCGAGCCTCCTTCCCTGATACGCTGGTACTCCAAGATGGAGCTGGTACCTGCAAAAGAGATTCTGATGCTAAAGTTAGTGTCTGTATGAGTATGAATCTCGTATATATAATGCACGTACCTTGATGTATATTAGGGTTGCGTTGAGCCTTGGGCCTGAGATTAGTTGTGATTTGATTAGGTAGAGAATCTAGCCGAGACCGAGATTTCCTGAGATCGGTTACGATCTATTTAAGTGTCGAGCTGACGCCACGTAGCGCGTGTCCGAGGTCAGCTCGTGTTGTGGTACCAAGCTAGGAGCTCGGCTTCGAAGTACGGATAGTACACAATGTAATATGAATTTTAATGTTATGCATTTTTACTTCTAATGCACTATGTCGCTTATAAACTGTTATAATTATACATTATTTGGACATGTCTTCCTAGTGTGATGTGCATGTTATCTAGGCTTGTCATTATTAGTCAATAATCTTCATGTCGGAGCTTGCATTGTAGTAGTCGTAGCATAGATAGGAAATAGATGAAATTGGCCATGTACCATTCCATGTATTCTCGTGTGTGAAACAATGGGCCTTGCATTGGATGACTCATCAATGTGTGCTCTCGTCTGCTATTCCATATGTCGACCCATCAGAAGTGGCCAGAATGGCCCGTTTTGAATTCAGAACAGCTCGTTCTGGTTCAACTGGTCATGTGTTATTTTTGAATTTGGAATGAGTCGTTCTGATTTAAAACGAGTCGTTCTGATTTAAAACGAGTCGTTCTGATCCCTTCATCATGTATTATTTTTTTATCTAAAATGGCTCGTTCTGATATCAGAACGACCTGTTCTAAACGTGAATCGTAAAGTGTGCTAGTTGTGTAAATAAATTAGAATAAATGCTTTTTGGGCAAAAAAATTTAAAAAAAAATTATTTTAATAAAAAATTCGGAGGAAAACAGTGTGGTAACAACGGAGGAATTAGATCTTGTATGACAATGTATAATATACTAATAAAATTAGATGCTTCTAATGGTAAATAAAAGTGGTGCACCATACACCATTTGATAAACTAGTCCACCCTAAAAACCACCCTTCTACAATTAGGTCAATCTTAATTTCATTATATATCTCTTTACATACAAAGAAGAGAAGAAAAAAATGCAATAAGATTCGATTCAAAATCAATTTTAAAATCATTCGCCCAAATACACACTTAAATGTTTTTAACTACATATTTCATGTAATTTCGTCAAAAGGTGAAAGATTAAACTATTTGTTTTTCACTTTGAAGTGAAAAATCATTCCCCACCAAGTTGTCAAAAAGTTGAATTTTGATGCCTCTATGCATGCATACAGAACGTGGTGAAAGAGACAAATTGCTATCAGCAATGGAAAGGACCAAAAAATGCACTCTATAAGCTATTATAAGACATTCTGGATGACTCTTTTGCAGAACTCTGACAAATGATATGTCGAGAATATTTTTAATGATAAATTTAAATAAGTATTACATTATAGTTAACTACGTTATATGATTTATCTAACTTATCAATGTCATTTTTTTAAAATCTTAAAATTCATCAACTATATAAAACATGAATACTTTTAATCAATTGACCAATTAATGAAAAATTTATCATTTATTTTATTTTGTTTATCAATAAAACTTTTTACCTTAAAATATTTATATGACTAAAAATGATCTCTCTCGATTATAACAATTAAATAAGAAGAGTCAGATAAAGAATAAATTAAGTATTTTTAAAAATTATATTTTGTGATAATATATTTTTTCAAGAGTCAAGAATGAGGAGGGTGGGGAGGGCAAGGCCTGCTTGCTCCCCTTGATCCATCTCTAGTCTCTTATATTATGTGCAAACTTAGCCCTCTTGTAAGAATAAAAAATATAAAAAATCTTACATTCAATTTCCATGAGATGTACTCAATGGAAAAAGTTACATACCAAATATAATATCTACTTATCCATGATGTTATTTATATTCAATTTTTTAAATAATATATCCAATATTTTATTCTAAATAGATTTTTTTGGTTATCTTATTAGTAATTATATGTTGGCGATATAAAAGATACTTTAATATCTTACACTTATTTATTATCCTTCCTAATTAAGTTTATAAAACATTCGTTATATAATTATTAAGTAAATCTAATAGATATGAGTTTTAAAAAATATAATTAATAAATTAAATAAAGAAACTTAAATATTATTATAACTTTTTACAAGAGATGAATTTATTAAATACTACTTGTTAAGTATTTTGAATTGTTAAAAGAAAAGTGTTGAATGACCTTTACATTTTTCATATAATAAATATTTATTTTTAATTAAAAAATCATCTTATGATGTGTTCAAGTATATGTATTTCAAGTATATTCTTAATTTTAAATAAAAAATTTAAATAAATTAAAAAGAGAATAATATATGTCACTACAAGAAATGTTAAACATAGTGACATATAAAAAATGTTATTATAGATATAATATATATAGATATAAATCTATTTGACGTATAACTACGTATAATTTTAATGTTGATTTTGAATGAACTTCAATAACATATATTATGTGTCACTGTAATCTATACTTACATCTTTTGTCAATATACTAACATATATTGTATCTATAACATAGATAAAATTATTTTTTAATAAAAAATATTATATCATTATAAGATATGTATTACATGATAATTTTTTGTAGTGTGTTTTCATTATTAATGATGAATATATATATAAATTAAAGAGATTAAACTTTTAAATTTGAAGAAAAACTTTGTAAATAAATTATTGAAATTAAAGAATATCTCTAACAAGTTGTTAGTTCAATTAAAATTGTAATTGAATTCTTTAAACAAGGTCTCATGTTTGAATACTTTCAACAAAGTTTCACTTCACATGTCTATCATATTTATATTTTCTAAAAATATAATGAGAAGATTAGTAATTTAATATTTAAAATTTTGCAATATTAAAATTCAAGATGGTGTAGTAATAGTTTGATAGTTATGCTTTTAAGAATGCCATGAGTATCTTCCAGTTTTGTTACCTTAAATGGATTAAAGTTATCCTTTCCAGTATGGAGTTTTTAACGAACTCAAAATTTGAACTTGAGACCTTGAGACTTGATGATCAAAGAGACTTATCCAAACCATCTCATGATTTAAAAAAAAAAAACAAAAAAAATGTTTTTGAAAAAATTTATCCAAATCATCTCATAATTAAAAAAAACAAAAAAAAAAAGCTTCTCATTTAAATTATTACAAATTTCTTATTTAATCCTCCATTTCTAAGAGTCATAAAGGTACTTGAGAATAATAAATGAAAAAAATAATAACTGAACTATACAAAGAAAAGAAAAATTATGAGAATTAGAGAAGAATTCAATTATAATATTTTTTTTACATTATTATTCAATCATAAATTGTTACTATGATAAAATAATTAACTTTATAATATATTAATAATTATTTTAAAAGTAAAACTTAGTATATTACCTATATATATTTGGAATCTTATCACCTCAATAAGTTGCTAAAGTGTAAGATTTCATTACCTAATTAGGGATCATGCACATCGTAAATATAAGTAAAAATTGAAGTAGGAGAAATGCAAAATTTATGTCTTCAACAAGAAAGAAACTTGTAAACAATCATCATGCGCATGGTGTCCTACCCAGCTACCTTTACATCAATATAAAATACTCTTTTCAACTAGAAAAGTTAATAAAATAAAATAACAAAGAAAGAATATGAGAGACCACATAAAGATTGTGAACTATTAAACTAAGCAAAAGGAAAACTACTTTCAACCATATAAGTCTTAAATATTATATAAAAACGTTCATATCATGATTGAAAACAGGGCAAGCATTCAATATTGCTTGGTAGCAAAATGCAAATCAAGAACATTCGAAACAAAGGGTGTGCTTGAAATCCTTTAAACAAACAAGTTTGTTTTGTTTTGTTTTGACCAAACACTTGACATTAGAAAATGGTTTTGGCAACGTTTATCTCAATCTCACTCCTATTAGCACTAGCCTCTAAAATTTTTCTACATTGGCTCAAGGGAAGGCCTCTTTCTTCTCACAAGAACATGGGCCTTCCTCCGGGCCCACCAAGGTGGCCCATTGTTGGCAACCTCCTCCAATTAGGGCAACTTCCACATAGAGACTTGGCATCTCTATGTGACAAATATGGACCCTTGGTTTATCTAAAATTGGGCAACATCGATGCCATCACAACCAATGATCCTAATATTATACGTGAAATTCTTGTTTGCCAAGATGATGTTTTTGCCTCTCGCCCTCACACTCTTGCTGCGGTTCATTTAGCATATGGGTGTGGTGATGTAGCATTGGCCCCACTAGGGCCCCATTGGAAACGCATGAGAAGAATCTGCATGGAGCATTTGTTAACAACAAAGAGGCTTGAGTCCTTCTCAAGACACCGTCTAGAGGAAGCCCAACACCTTGTGAGGGATGTTTGGGCCCGGGCCCAAGATGAAAAGCCCATTAACTTGAGGGAGGTTTTGGGGGCTTTTTCAATGAACAATGTCACTAGAATGTTGTTGGGGAAACAATATTTTGGGTCTGAATCTTCAGGCCCACAAGAGGCTATGGAGTTCATGCACATAACCCATGAGTTGTTTTGGCTTTTGGGTGTGATATATTTGGGTGATTACTTGCCAATTTGGAGGTGGGTGGATCCTTATGGGTGTGAAAAGAAAATGAGGGAGGTGGAGAAAAGAGTGGATGATTTTCATTCCAAGATTATTGAAGAACATAGAAAGGCTAGGAAAGACAAGAAGAAGGGGAATAGAGAGGAGGGTGATGGAGACATGGATTTTGTGGATGTTTTACTATCTTTGCCAGGTGAAGATGGAAAAGAGCACATGGATGAGATAGAAATCAAAGCCTTGATTCAGGTATTGACATTTTTTTTTTTTTTATTTATGCTCTTTTTGTGGCATCATAAAAATGTGTGATTAAACATGTTATTATTTATGTTGAATTGTGAAAGTGACTATTGAAAATGTTGATTAGGACATGATAGCTGCTGCAACAGACACTTCAGCAGTTACAAACGAATGGGCCATGGCAGAGGTAATCAAACACCCCCATGTCCTCCAAAAGGTCCAACAAGAACTCGACACAATCGTGGGCCCAAAACGAATGGTCTCAGAATCGGACTTGCCCCACCTTAACTACCTGCGCTGCGTCGTACGCGAAACCTTCCGCATGCACCCCGCGGGTCCCTTCCTCATTCCGCACGAGTCCCTTCGCGCCACCACCATCAACGGCTACCACATCCCCGCCAAGACACGTGTCTTCATCAACACGCATGGGCTGGGCCGCAACACCAGGGTCTGGGACAGCGTGGCCCAGTTCAGGCCCGAGAGGCACTGGCCCAATAACGGGGCCCGAGTTGAGATCAGTCATGGGCTGGACTTCAAGATTTTGCCCTTTAGTGCGGGGAAAAGGAAATGTCCAGGTGCACCTCTTGGGGTGAATTTGGTTTTGATGGCTTTGGCTAGGCTTTTTCATTGCTTTGATTGGGCCCCACCCAAGGGGATGGATCCTCAAGATGTTGATACTAGAGAGGTTTATGGGATGACCATGCCTAAGGCTCAGCCATTGATTGCTATTGCTAGACCTAGGTTGGCAAGGCATTTGTATCAATGATTTCAATTTCATGTAATTTGATTAGTTGGTTGGAGTGAAGTTGGAAGTGTTGTATTAAAGAATATTTGATGTTCGAAACTTAAAAGATTTTATTGTTCAAAAAATACTTAAGTAATTTACTTGAAGATGCAAATCGAATAACACTAAGATTAATAAAAAATGACTTGTGAAATAATATTTATATTTTTATAAAAGATAATAAAATTTAAATAAATTAATAAAAAAGAATGAAATTTTTGTGGTTAAAATAAATTAATATAAAATTATCTTGTGTCCTTTATTTTCCTTTGTTTGCACCCTTGGATCTAAAGCATTTATTTTACTACTTCACAAATTAGTATTAGATATAGACTATTCAACCTCTCCCTCCCCCCGTAATTTCTAGTGTTTGTCTTTTCTGTACTTATTATATTTGAGTCTCACTAAAAAAAATATTGAAAAAACATTATCACCCTTTATTGATTCAATGAAAATATGTTTAAATAAACTTCTATAGAAGCATATCTAAGAAAATAAAATAAAATAAAAAATTAAATAAATTCCTTCATTAAGTTTAATTGACTTATACAAAAATCTACGGAATATTTTGAAGACATTAATATGAGATTTTCGACAAATAACTAATACATAAGTTAATTTTAACTTTTATGATTTTTCATTATTCTTATTTTCTTCTCTTATACATATTTATAGAATACTTATCTAAAGAGATCCTAACTTAACTCAAATTAATTCACTTTTGATGGCTCTAAATATTTAGTGCGTACTCAAAGTTTAAAATATAAAAACAAAGTAACTATCTCAAGGATTAGTTTGGCAATTGGTGAGCATACAGCTATGGAAAGATATAGCCGTATGTTGATAGCCTATCTCTCAATGAACTTAAGTAAGCAAATTGGCACAAGGTAATGAAGTGGTACAAGGCTTCTAAAATTAAGTGAAGCTGTTTTTACTTTGATTTAATTTAAAGTGCACTATGATAGCAACCTATAAATTTTATGTATAAATATATTTTTTCTTTATAAATAAACTCATTTTAAGAAAAGATTGATAATCGCGCATTGAATGGGGTAAATGATATACATAACAATAGAGGGAGAAAGAGAGATCAAGATTTTTTTTCCACAGAAAGAGAGACAAAGTCAAGTAAAAGCACGAGTTCCAATTATTCATACAAGTTTCCTATTCTACAACCAACAAACTACCGGTAGTGGTTAACTTGTTTAGTTGTTCTACATACACCTAAATCATCAACTATTGTTTCTACACAGAAACATATAATACGTATATGAACATCCAAGTAAATGAGTAATTTGAACATAAAGTAGCATGGAAAAAATAATGTGAAGAAGGTTCCTGATCAGTGGAGTTTGCCCTTTCTGTCTCTAGCAGCTTGGATCTGATCTGCAAGTGATGCTTCTTTTTGCATTTTCTCTCTCTTGATAAGCTCTAAATCCAATTTATGGAGGGTTGGCAAAATGGAATTAAAAATTTCTCCTTTAGCTACGTCACTGTTGATTTTCTTACTTATGTGAATCTAAAGACAAGATAAATATACCATCGTTAGAAGCAAAGAGGCATAATAAAAAAAATATATAAAAAAAGGTTCATTCAAAAATTTGGTCCACACACCTGACAGCAATTTCCATTTTAGTCCATATATATTTCCATTTTGTTAGAATTATTCTACTCAATAACTCATTGTCTATGATAAATTTCAACAATTCAATCATTAAATTAAAAGTTCTTATTGTATAGACAACTGTACAAAATTTTTGTTAAATTTGAAAGTCATTTGATATCTCATTTCATTAATTGAAATTGACGGATAATCATAAATATATTTTATAAATTGATTTGAATCTATAAAACAAAGTATCATATGCTTTCAAAGTTTTTAAAAATTTGTAAACTTGATCTATAAATTAAGAATTTTTAATTCAATAGTTGTTTTGTTAAAATTTAATGTAGAACATAGGTTATTCAGTAAAGTCAGTCTATCAAAACTTATTTTATGCTACTCTCATTCTCAATTGCTCTGCTGTGTAGCATTTATAAGCAGATAATAAATGAGGAAACAATAAAATCCTACCTTAGTTAATTTAGTCGCAAGTTTGAACTCTTGAGTAACTTCCAAGGAATCTTTGCCTTCCTTTGCATTGCTGCAGGGATGACTTTTTATTTTCCCTTTAACCTTAGCCCTCTCTTGATGATCTTTTCTCTTTTGAGTGAGGATTACCCTTTTAATTGCCTTTATCTGTGCTTCTTTCTCTGCTTTTGCCCTCGCCATCTCTTTTTCCTTTTCTTTTTCATTAGTACGCTGAAGTTGACGAAGGCGAACCATTTCTTCTTGTATCTTTTTGTAACTATCCCAGTCAAGTTCTTGCTCCCCACTCCCTCCTTTCTTAGCTGCTTTGGCTATGTTTTCCTTCCATGACTGAATGATATTCTTTACTTTAGTAGCTGCCATCAGCTTTTCTTTTCCCTTTTCCTCAGCCTGTAGAAGTTGATGGAGCTCCATCTGCTGTTTTATTTGATTGTAGCTATCCCAATCTAGCTCTTCCTGACCACTCCCTCCTTTCTTGGCTGCATTTGCTATGCTTAGTGCCCATGAAAACAGAAGTTGCTCCGCCATCCGCTTGAACTTCAGCCGCTCATGCCAAACACGCCTCAGTGAATCACTTATCTTTGCCTTGGTTTGATCACTGCAGGAAGTTTGATACATGATCAAAACCAGAGAATGCATTGGCAATGCTACTCATTTAATATTCATGCTAAAGACAAGATTAAACACAACCTAAAAATTTTTTTGAACACTGCAAATGAGTGCAAAAATTATTTGAGTTTGAACCAAAAAAAATACTTTAAAATAGCTTTCAGGTTCATGAGACAGGCAGTATGATCAATATCTCATTGAACAACATAGAAAATTCTTTGACATTATTACTTAGTACTTATAGAAGTAGCCACATATAAGTATGACAGCAGTTAGAGTAAACATGTATAATGGCTTCACATCGCCAGACAAATGAGAATATATATATTAATTAGTCAATCAAGCAGCAATAACTTACAAATAAAGTTGTCATATGTCTTAAAATAGACCTATAATCTAAGTAGTAAACATTTTTATTTCTCTAATCCAAATAACATATAATAATAATACGCCATTTTTTACAACCTTATTGCCTATACCATCCCGCTATAATGGTGCACAGTACAAACTTCCATATGTATCATAAATCAAAAGTCTGAAGTCTAAACTCTAAACCCAAGTCTTTAATCTCAATTACTTCCTTGTCTCCATACTTCCCCCCGTTCTAAATCAACAAAAGGAATACGTTTTTTTTGGTGAAATTTTTCTAGATTATGAACACCCAAGAGCTAAGAGTCTAAGATCATAATCCTATCCTTGTTTATTAAATCCATGATATTTTGTTTTCCATCAATAAACTACAATTTTCCATGGTGTGAGATTACATTCTTCTTTGAGGAAGCATACAGAAAAACAGTTTGACATATATGTTTACCTGTGAGAATGAGGATGTTCAGCCATCTTCTTCCTTACCTGAAACATTGTCAAGGGGAAAGAGCGGAAAAATAAATATTAACTAGATAGTAAATGAAGAGAAATGAACTACCTAAGGGCTAAGGCAACAAGCATTTGAATACTTGTTATAAGGAGAGGAAGGAACTCGTAACCAAAACATAACAATTAAAGTCATGGCAACAACAAGGCAAGTCATGTTGAAAAAACACAAAAGGATGAAAAAAAACCAAAAACTAAAAACACACACAAAAACCAAATGACTCTTACTTGACTTCACCTTGGGGTCCCTCAAGGCCTCTAAAGTTCTTTGCCTGATTAGCTCCCTGGTCTCTGCATTGTATCCAAAATCACAATCACTTACAAAAATCTAACTAACAACAAGGTTTTAAAAGCAGTCTACAATCACAAAATCAGACACAGCATAAGGCTTTTAGGGTCCATGACCATAATGGTGGTTGCATTTGTCTGCAATTCCCAACAACATCATGAATCCAGAGAAACTTCGACTGCAATTTAAAACCTTGGGTACACACATCAATGTCAATTTAAATGTAAACTACCTGCACTGTGCTTCCTTCCTTTGTTCCAAGGCACTTTTCCTTTGTTTGCCATGCCAATTCTCATTCTCCTAATCCTCTCCTTGAGAACCTCTTCACTGAGAGAGTCACCAAGGCCAACCTCCCCATTCCCATTGTTAAAGTAATCAGAAGAATCAACACTAACAATTGAGGGGTCCCAATCATCAGGACTTAGTAGCAGGTCCTCAATGGGGAGAACCCTTTGGGAGGAACAAACAAAGGTTAACTTGGAGAGTGCAAACACTTGCAGTGTTGTTGGAGGGTAAGTGCAATCCACCATGTTGGTGAAGAGGAGGCGTGAATCCGTGTTGGAAATGGGCGTTGAGAGAGAAAATGAAACGGACATGGCTCTCACACTGACACAAGAAATTCAAAGTTCAGAACTTTGCTAGAAAATGTCACAAAACATGTTCAATTATGCACATATTTGGTCCCAAAAAAATGAAATTACACACATACACAAATGGGGATGTGTTAAATCCAAATGAATTGAAGAGAGAGAGAGAGAGAGAGAGAGATTACAGTGAGTTAGAGTGAAGCATGTTGGTTGAAGTTGTGAAGATGGGAAGATGAATGAGTGAGAGCTTAGCTTAGCAACACCTAATCTTTTACGATGTAAAGGACTGGTTCTCACGAAGGTGTCCTAGGGTCATGTTTTCTAGATTTTTTTCTTTTGTTTTTATACCCCTTCTTTTAGAACTTTTTAGATTTGTTAGTGTTCAATAAGAGATTTGAAAAATTCAAGGAAATTATAAATTTATAATATATTAAAGTTTAGTTACTTTAATCAAATTTCTTTTATTTTTAAAATGCTTTCTTTTAAATTTTTGTTTCAAACTTTCTTGTTTAGACGAAGTAATTCAATTTTCTTGTTACACAAAACTTTATATTATGTTTCATTAGAGTTTTTTTTATTTTATTTTGGGTGTTATTTGAATAAAAAAAATTATCACAGAAATTTGTATTCTTTATAAAAATTTCATTATTTTAAAAATTATTTATATTTAATATCCAAATAAATCATGTTGAAATATAATGTTTTAAGTTCACGTAAATTTGAAATTTTTCTCACAAAATTTTCTATCCAAATGCTGAGAGCTCTAGTTGAAGTTTAAGGCTTTCAGAATTATTATAAGACAATGACCATCTTTTAGGTAAAGTTTTAATTTTGCAAAGACAATGACATGATGTTGATCCGTTAGACCTCATTTTTATAATAAATATAATACATAAATATTTTAAATACATAAATTATATAATTAAATTTTATAATAAATTATTATTAAATATATAATAAAAATGACAAATTAAAAGACATTGTTAGTTAAGAAAATTAAATATCAAATATACAAGTAAAGATAAAAGAATGATAATTTGATATTGTTGAAAAAGAAATTAACAATATCTTTTTCAAATTAGTATTTTAACTTATGCATTATAAAAGTTAAATATTCATTATATAATTACATATAAATAATATTATATTTGATTATATAAATTATATTATATTTAAAATTTATATGAATAGATATTTTAAATATATAATTTCTAATTTAAATATATGATAAATAATTTATATTGTGATGGAATATTATTTTAACTATTGATAATATACTTTATATTATAAAAAGTCTTACTAAAATTTTATTTAAGATGTTAATCGTAATTGTGCAGTTACGCGTTTGCTTCTCCAATGGTTTATAATGTTTTATATTTGTTCAAAACAGCATTTGGCATCACAAAATCGTAACCAGGTACATATGCATATTTCTTTGAATTTAATCGTAACAAATATTATATATATTATTGCAAGTTTGTTCAAAACGGAAACTAGTCATATACATCAAGTTCAATACTTAACCGAAAAGTTATATAAAACTTATCAATCAACTAACCAAAATGTCAAAAAATGAGCTAGCAATGAAGTACATAGTACGTGTAAAAATAGTTTACTTAGTGCATTAATTTCTTAAGCAACAAGAAATTTCCTTCTATTTAAAGAAAACAATTCTATGCTGAGTTTTATCATCAAAAAAAAAATATTAGTTGGTGAAACTAATGGATACAAAAAACAAAGATTTTAATGAGTATAGTCTTGTTCCTTCAAACGAGAGTTACGAGACCTTTAAGGAGCCAGTTATAGAAGTTGAACATGCACCCACCAAATTTGAGAAAGGAAAGAATAAGAAGAAGAATAAGAAAGGTAAGGTTTTGTCGAAGAAAATATTCTGGATTTGTTGTTCTGACATTACAGTGGAGTCCAATGAGAAGATTGAGGAGGAGGAAGAGAAGGGTAGGTTGGAGGTCAAAGGTAAGATCTTGTGTTCAAAAGTTGGGAGTGAAGCAGACAAAGTTGTTGAAGCTGTGGAAAACAGAGGCAAGACCTGCTTCCTTGTATGCTTTTCCAATGTTCAAGTCTCCAAAGGTTAAGTGATTGTGAGATGTGTGGGATATGTAAAATAATTTTATATGCTCTTGTCTACTTTTATGAAACAATCCTTTTTATTAGTTAAGAAATTTGTAAAATCTTGCATGTTTTACTAAATAATATAAAATTTAAAATGAAGAATTATAAATATAAACTCTCTTTAGGATTTGACGTTTTTTTAGTGAAAAAAAAAACACTTTTAAAAATAAAATGTACTCCCAATTATTGATTATAAAATAATTATTAAATTTTGTGATAAAATTAATTATAACATCATCTTAATTTTTTTAATTAATAACTATAATTTTAGTTCATTCTTTAAAATACAAATTCTCTTTAGAGAAGTGAGATCTCATTTTATATTATTGAATATGGTGTACCCTTGCAAGTATGTTATAAACACGTTAAATACAGTATGTTTACCAAGTAAAAGAATCAACAAAAATACAATTTTAAATTAATGACTATAGCTGCATCTACACTTACAGAGTCTATTTGATTCAAAAGTAGAGAAGAATTTTAATGACTGAAAAGAAGAAAAGTTTAAAAAAATAATTGAAAAATTTTAATAAAAAGGGATAACAAAATCTTCTCTTAGTTACAAAATATTTTAAAAACTAATTTATATAGGAACCCTTAAATTTTTAATTTGTAAACTAAAATGAAATTTATTTTAAACATTATTACATAAAGAACGTATTAAATCCTCTGCCGTTCCCCTCTCTCAAAATCCCATCCATATTTAGAGACTAAATTTAAATGATGCAAGAATTTTTGGTCTCCTTTCCCCTCCATGTTGAACAAAAAATAAAAAATTAACAATCTCCCTATATTTCTCCCCAACCAAACACTATAAAGTGAACTCACTTTATTTCAATATCCAATAACTAGCATGAAGTTGACATCAAGTTATTTACACTATTAACAAAACAACCATATACCACAGATTCTCTGCATAAATTAAAAATAAAATAACATTAAAGATAGGCAGTCATGACTAACAAAGAAGAAGAAAAAAGGCGTTAACAAGTAGTGACTGAATCTTAAAAAAGAATTGAATAAAAAATCAAATTGAGGATAAAAATGTTTATAAATAAAATAGACATGATAGACAGTTACGAAGAGTGATATCATCTTTGGTCATTATTAGTAGTATAGAATAATAGAAGTATCGATGTTGTCAAGAATGTCATTCATAATTAGTATCCAACCATCAATTATCCTTGATGCAAATTAAAAAGAAAAAATCATGAACTAATCCCGATCTAACAATGAACATTCATTCTTTTTAGATGACACCACAAAACTGACTGAGCTGTTACATGCCAGCACAGATACAACCATAACATCATGCTTTAAAGTCGTATTTTGAAAGATCATTACACCCATTACACAAATGATGCATCTATCAGCTTCCAAGACCAAATTCTCAATTCTGCTATGGGAAACCATGTTTGAAGACTGATACGAGGCCACTGTTTCTTTCTTACTTAATTACTCAGTGTTACACTCCAGCACATCTTAAGCTCCCGTTGAACCAGACCAACACGGAGGAGTGGAGCGAGATATTACCAGAAATTCAGTCAATGACAGTTATTAGAATAATAGCACTTATTTACTCTCATTTAGATGCTACACTTTTGTGGATTAAATCCAAATGAAGAACGTATAGTCAAAAGTATATTGCGAATATCAAGTATGATTATCATAATGCAAAAGAACTACAGAGAAAATGATATCTGGAGAAAAGAAAAAAAAATCCAGCTTTAATATTAACATGCTTACGAAGGGTATAGAAAACTCAATTTTTGATAAAGTAACGGTCTCTAGGAAGCACAAATTACATAAAAAGAATATTCGACAAAGCATAAACATCACCCATAAGGGTGAGATATCTGGAGTAGAAAAGTATATTCCTATTCCTATTAGAATATATACTCGCAATTAAAAATAATACTTCAGGCAGCAAAGCATCATACAATTCGAAAACCGTGAAATTATGCTACAAATAGGAGAGGAAAGGGTATAAGATGCGGACAGAAAACAGAAAGGAATTGGACACGGCCTGCCTTGCCTCTTACTTCGTCGCAGCAAGGCAGTAGTTTATGGTACTGGGTTGGGCTTTTATCATCTCATAAGATTTAAAGAATGCATATTTTCCAAACCCTAAATATCAAAAGGAATTGGGTACTACAAAGAGAATAGAAAATGCAAAAAGAAGCAAAGTTACTCATCAATCACAATCTCATGCTTCTTTATCGATAAACAGAAAACCTTCCTCAAGTAAAAGTGTGCAAGACACAGTATGTTTCTCATCTAGTCTCCACATTAGCAATCAACATCTCATGCCCAAAACACTGAAGACACAAACGACTCCTTATCATCCAACAAAACAAACTAAATCCTATCTGATGGTAAATAACAACAGCAAATCATTGAAGTTTACAAGTTCACAGCACACTCACAAACCAGCCTGGCATCATGATCACAAACCAGCCCGGCATCACCACAAGGGTAAACTCATACAAGGTGGTTTGACTCATACTCAAGGCAAGACAATAAAAAAGACAATAATCCACAGTATTCAAGGTGCAAGAGGACTACAAAATAAATTTTAGTACTGTTCAAGAGTATTAACAATCCATGCCAGTGAATAGCCATCTAGTGAAACTTGGCATTAAGTGGTGACAATAAATTCAGATAGCACGAGCCTGATACAATTAAACACAGGTGTAACGACTCAATAAGGGAAATGCCTCAGAAATAGGAGAGACAAAAATGGGATAGATAATGGACAATATCACGATTTAATCACTTGCAGAACTTATATCACATATGGTGTATTAATACAGGTACAATACCAGTAACCAATATTGATTAAGGGTATGGAATAAATTCAATTTAAAGAAATTAAAAAATAAAAGTATATTAATGTAATTTTTAAATAATATAAATTAAAATATAATATTTAAGGTGCAACCATGCCAATAATTTTAAGATTGGAGATGCCATACCACATGTTTTAATTTTAAGTATCTGAAATCAATATTACAAAATGATGTAGTAAAAATGCAACAAAATAAAAGCTGAGTGGTTAATATAGAGAATAGCACAAGAGGTTATTTTTTACTGCAAAATACCTACCAAGCTCAAAGGGAAATTTATCATAATTATATTCTACTAGTAGATGTTGCGCTTTAAATGAACGAGATAAAAGTGGGAATAGCAAAATTGGTTACAATAAGATAGCCGTGTAGTAATGCAAAAAAGATCAGGATATGAAATGATTATATGCAAGGAGATTTTGGTTTCACACCTGTAGAGGAAAAGATAAGAGAAAATCAACTAAGGTGATTTGACATGAGAAAAAACCACTGGACGAAATGATGAGAAGAATATACTGCATGGATTTTAGCCATGTCAAAAGGGAGAAAAGAAGAACAAGAAGGATATTTACAGGTAATTATAAAAGGGAATCTCATGATTAATAATGTCACTAGATATTTGGCTTTAAACTAATGACATCAAGTGATCCATGTAAACAACCTCACAAAGAGGAATAAAAATCTATTGTTATTGAAGAATAGAAATATTTATATATTGTTGTGAAAACACCAATAATCTATATTAAAAGAAATTACTAAACTCAACGTGTTACATTTCACAATAAAAGGATATAACCACTTCCCAATGTCAGAATTATTTTGCAAAGACACAAGGACTTGCCCAATGCGTAGCATTAGATAGTAAAGAGTCAATATGACAAATTACTTTATATCAGACAATACTTACAAAATGCTGAGACAAAACAATCGATATCAACCCCCAATGTAAGAAATATTAGATTAGTTAAACTGCTTGTTGGATGAGAAAAGTTGATTTACCACTAAAAATTGTTGCCACCATTTAAGTTAAAACAAAACTTACATTGGACAAAAAAAATTATTAGGTGATCACAGCATCAAATCATCAGGATATAACACTGCATTAGAAAATATTGATACACAAAGCAAAACGAAACAACCACAACATTGAACAACTGTTGAAACTAACCAAAGGAAAATGTAACTAAATACAAACTCCTCTAATAAAATTCAACATAATCCAAAACTATATAATTAAAACAAAGGCTGTAACAGCTCAGATGATCCAGCTAAAAGTACATAACTAGTCTATCTCAATAGCTTTAACTAGTAACATTCATTAGAATCAAGGCTTAAAAAAGCAGCAGATGAAGTCAAGAGGCTGTAAAAGTACAGGCTAACACATTCATTACACCAGAGCACATAGTCTGCAATCACGCAATCACCAGAGGCACACAAAGCATCTGCGCCCAATAAGCGATACACCTGAATCAAACATCCATTCAGCTCAATTCATCATTTCACAACCATCATTCAAAGTACATTGTTATATTGTAAAGGCAAAGACAAACTGACAAAAGAAAAATAAACAAATCATTGCTCACCCTTTCTCAGGAACCACATGAACAAACAGCTCATGTATAAGTACAATGTTAAATATAACCAGCAATACAATTTGCAAGATAATTTCAGGAATGAAAAACTAAAATGCACAAGAACCATGAAGATATGAAGGAAAATTGAAAACACATACACGAGGAATGTAAAACAAACAAGAAATTTGATAGAAAAGCAGGGGAAGACAAACAAAAAATGAAAAAAGCAAGTGTACAAGAAAACTGCACAAAACACAATAACAGATCACATAAGACATGATCAAATCAGAGAGAGAGAGGTCACTCTCAAGTCAGCGACAATTACATTCTACAAATCAAAAACAAAACACATACACAACACACATTCTATGCTGGATAAGCACTGTACAAGAGTTTTCACAAGTTGGCGACTAACCCCATGTTTCCACAAATGACACCAAAACACCCTAAGTAATTTGGGATTGTATAGCTATAATTCATAAAGAGAATTGACAGAAAGAGTAAAACGAGAGGTAGTACTCAGAAAAATAATCAAAACATTGTTCCCAGTGACAACCTTCCAGCACAACAGAACTGCATAAAGCCTCCCTGTTGTTTGTTGATAAAAGTTATTTTGAAACAGAGCTTTACCAAATCACTGCCAGCCCCCTTTTCCAAGCTCCCAAATATTAATAAATGAAACAAGAAACCAGCTCATCTATTTATCTACACGAACACACTTATATTGTACTATATTCCAAAACAACACAAGATCTTTCTCTTTCTCTTCGCATAAAGACAAAATCCATTGATATTTATTAGTTCACACTCTTTAAAAGAGCTAGATTTAATATAATGAATGAATGGTCATTGTAATTATGAAAACAGTCCTTATACTTAATTACTAAACACATTAACTGTTGTCCTTTTCTCTTTATCAGACAATCCAAGTTATTTGGTACAGTACATAACCAAGAACACAGTGTCTTGACAAAGTATGAACAAAATAAACTATATAAAAACAGATCATTAAACAAATTACAAATTAAAAATAAAATAATATAAAACAAAAATCAAAGTAAAAAAGAAATTAATAGTCTCGATTGAATTCCACACCAGAAGGATTTAATCAACATACAACTCATCATAAGATCACTAACGTCAATATAGGATTTATGAAGCTTGCATTGCACCAGAGAATCACAACATTCATTGATCGGGTTTACAAAACCACATATCAGCTACATGATCTCCAACAACAACACAAGCAATTGAGGATGTTCATTTCAATCTAATTAATATTTTGTAATATCCCAGCAACAAGGTCAACAGATTGGGACAAGGGAACTAAGACCATTACTACTGAAAAAGTAAAAAAAAAACACACCAACCAATCAACAAAAACAACAAACAGCAGGGAAACAAATTAAATTGACTTCAAAGGACTAGTAGATCTCATTGCATACAACCAACTCATCCACAAAGCCTACAACAAACCCAATAACACCAAAACTAAAACAAACTTGAAAAGCAGGTAACAAAACAGACACAATACACAACCCAAGTAAAACAACACAAAGCAACAACATAACCAGGCCATACAAACACACACACAAAAACAAATAAACAAATCAAGCCAATAACTAACAATACAAAGAAAACATATAAACTGTATAAGGCAATAAAACTACCTCAGTAGTAAGGAGGCACATTGGGATACATGGAACCCGGCGGAACCCTAGGCACAGGTGAAGCCCCAGAAGGAGGGTGATGTTGATTCTGGTACCCACCCGAAGCTGATAAACTATAGTGTCCTCCACTATCCGGATACCCTCCACCACCACCAGGCATTCCACCCGATCCCGGAAATCTATACAAAGACCCACCACCAGCACCAGCACCACCACCAATTCCTCCACCAGCACCACCACCAGCACCAACACCTACACCTCCACTACCCCCTCCCATCCCACCAGCCCCACCAAAGCCCGTCGACCCCGGCCCACCGTACCCACCATAAGGCCCACCCATTCCACCACCGTACCCACCGCCAGCACCCGCCATAGACCCGGGCACCGGATTCGACGAATTCATGGGATGATGATTCCCCATGGGAGGCTGCCCACCAAACCCACCATAAGAGCCCACCCCCACAGGAGGCCCATACTGCCCAGGCCCAGACCCGGCATTCGGCGGCATCCCCATGCCCATCCCCATTCCGGCCCCCACACCGTCCCCATGCCCATGCTGAACATTCCCATGGGCCTGGGGCCCATCGGGCCCAGCCCGCTTCCCCTGCTTGCCATCAGTAATGGCCAATTTACAACTCAACTGCCTCCCCTCAACAGTCTTCACAGGCTCCAGCAACGCAGCCTGAGCCCCTTCGGGAGTCTTGTAAACAAACAAAGCGAAACCCTTCGACTTCCCCGTTTGCTTATCGAACCCTAAAGGCCCCTCCTCGATCTCGCCATAGACCGAAAAGTGCGCAAGAAGCTTGTCCGCGGGGAGGTCCGGCGGCACGTTGGCCACGTAGATCTTCCGGAGCGCGACGTCGGCGGCGTTGGCATTCGACGCGGAGTTCCCGGCGGCGGCGAGCTGCGTGACCGTGACGCGGCCGTCGATGCGCTTGCTGGGCTCGCGGAGGGCGAGGAGCGCGCCGTCGACGTGGCGGAACGTGACGAAGCCGTAGCCCTTGGACTTGCCGGTGGCCTTGTCGAGGATGACGACGGCCTCCTCGAGGTCGCCGAAGGTGGAGAAGAGCGAGCGGAGGCCGTCGGTGGTGGTGTCCCAGCCGAGGCCGCGGATGAAGAGCTTGCGCTGGGAGACGTCGGGGTCGGCGGCGGCGCGCACGGCGGCGAGGACGTCGGGGTGGCGGGAGACGGCGTCCTGAAGAATATCGAGTAGCTGGTCCGGCGAGAAGCGGTCGATGAGCTTGCGCGCCTCGGAGGGGGAGAGTTTGAGAGGGTCGGAGGAATCGTTGAAGCCGTTCTCGTCGATTTTGCGCTTCTTTGTCAGATCCATGGATGCAGAGAGTGGAGGATCCGTTCGTTAAACCCTAATATGCTAACCCTAACCCTAATTTGGCGCTCTTCTCAGAATCTGGAAACTGAGTCTGAGAGTGAAGAGAGAAAATGTGGTGAAGATATTTGGGGCATATATACCCGATGTGGAAATTGGGCCTTTTACGTTGGTCCAGTGCATATGTATTTGAGTTCCGTCCAATCTAATATTCTGATTTCTGGACTCATCTTCCCAACTAAAGTTACAATATATTTTTAGTTTTTACATATTTAGTTTTTTAAAATTAAGATAACAATTTAAAATTATTATTTTCGGTCTTTTATTTTTAAAATATTTTTATTTAAATTTGAATTTCAATATAAATATTAAAACAAATGTTTTAAAATTATAGAAATTAAAAAATGTTAATTTTAAACTTAAGAGATTAAAAATATATTTAAATTTATAATATATTATTTTTATTGAGTGAAGGATTAATAATATGCTTTTATTTTTAGAATTTTTTTATTTTGTTTTTAGTTTTTTGAAGAATTTCTTTTATTAATTTTAGTATTTGAATTTTGGTTGTTTTTTAGTTTTAGTTTTTTAAACTTTTTTATTGTTAAGATTTCGGTCTTGGCATCTAATTTTTTTGTTTATAAAAAAAATTAGAGACTAAAATGAAATAAACACGTGATAAGATTAAAATTAAAATTAAAAAAAAATTCAGAGATTAAAATTAAAATTTAATTATTTTACAAACATCAAATAGAATATTTATAAACTATAAAAGGATAAAAAAAATTATAGAAACCAAAATTAAAACTCGCTCAATTTAAAGAGACTAAAAAATATATTTAAATTTTTATTTTAAATTAATTATTTTAATTTATAAAAAATTTATTTATTTGTTAAAAATTAAGAGTACACTTTTTTATTTAAACTTTATTGAAAATTAAAAGATTACGTAATTTTTTAAGTAATTGAAAGCAAAATAATGGTAATATAATTAAGATGTGAGCAAAATATTATGATGTATCAATAAATAATATGTATATATAGAGAGAAAGGATGATGGATTGATTTATTTCATAAGTAAGTTATATAAACTTACTCCGTTCCATAACTCATGTTTTATATTAAATTTTAACGATCCAGTTATTGAATTTAAAGTTATCAATGCATAGGTCAAATCTGTAAATTTTTTTAAAAATTTTGAAAATTATTTGATACTTCGTGACATTAATTCAAATTGATAGATAATCATAAAATTATTTTATATTGAATGTTTATTGTAAATTACAACTTTATATTTTTAAAGTATATATAACGTAAATTTAATCTATGTATAGGAAGTCATATTACAATTATATAACTTTTACCAATTATTAAATTGTCAATAACATTTTTAAAGCTCATTCACAAGTATGATTTTACAAATTTTTTTATTTTATTCAAGGTTTTGAGAATGAAAACTAATATATAAAGTTTTATGACAAAAATAATTAATTATTTTTAATGATAATCGATTATTTTGTTCTTCCTAAATTTAAAAATCTACCAAGAACATATTAATCAATTATTCTGAGTAATAATCGATTATTCCATAAATTTATTTATGAAATAATTACTTATTTTACTGAATAATTAATTATTACAACAAAGTTCCTCATATTATCGAAAAATAGGGTAAATAAATCAATTATTTATAAAAATAATTGATTATTTTTAGTGAAAACTTAAAAGTTACGAGTTGTGCAAAGAAAAACACAACAATCTGTCATAGTAGAAAACAAGTTAAATATTTACACAACATATGTTATTCATTAATACAATTAAAAATACCTCTTGCAAAAGTAATACACAACCAACAATATATCTTTTCTGTATAGGTTTTGTATAACTTTAAAATGTTTGACTTGAGAATGTATACAATGTTTGATACATTGATGAATGATGTTATAATGTTATGATATGTGATGAATGAATAGTATAAGTAATGATAATGCATAATGTTATGTTGTGTGATGATTTTATGATGATGTATAATGATAATATGATGTATGAAATGAATAATGATGAGATGTAACGTTGAGACATGATGATTTACATTGTGTGAGTATTTATGATGAGATAAGATGGATAAATTTAGTGTTATGGATTGGCACACAAGTAGATGAGTTATGCATATTGTATTTGTTGTGATGTGAGTATTGAGTCCATGCATTCATGTTTTGTTCACATAATAATATGAATCTATGTAGGTGGGGTATCATAGGTAATTTATCTGTCTCGAGGGGTGTTATGGTGGGAAAACCTCTAATGAGAATGGGAGACTACATAACCAATTGTAACACTTCAACAAAACCTTGATAGACATCTTTTAATTAAGGTGGTTTGGGGGAATCACTATTAATGGGTAGTCCTCACACTATTCGATGGGTGGTCTCATTCCATGACTAGTAGGTTATTTTGTATTGGTGATGGTGAAAAGATTGATATTACATGCATATAGAGTTAAGAGCATTCATTGCACAAGTCTTAATTTACGAGTGATATATATTATGTAATTTGTTGTTCATGAATGATGAATGAATGTTGAAGATGGTTATTATAGATGTTTGGAATGATGATTACATGCGTAAATGACGTCATTAATGTTATAGATGTGTGTGCCTACCTTTGTACCTTATATAGTTGTTGAATGAATGAGATGTATTCTCACTCTTTATGGTTGTGTATTTGTATTTGGGTTGAATGCTACTTGTAAGAGTATAACAAATATAAGAAGATGTGTTTGAGAGAGACAAAAAGATGGATTTTGCTTTGATAGTATGACATCAAGGTAGAGTTTTAGTCTTAATAGTTATTTATGATTGTTAGATTTCTACTTCATTAGGTTTTATTATTAGAGTTTAGTTAAATTAGGCGGTTGTGTCTTGCTTTGATTCATATATTATTTTTTTATGTTTTCTTTGATTAATAAAATAAATTTTTATATATTAAGTACAAACTTCTATTTTACACAAGAGTTTTAGGAGATTTTCTTCACGTGATGGTTTGTAAAAAAAAATTTACTTTATACATAATTTGATTTTTATTTAGCATAATTATTTATAAATTAAATATTAATATTTTAAAAATAAATAATCAATAAATAAAAATATTGTTTTTGTTATAACAAACTTTTTTATCATAAATATAAAATATAATTTATATGTTTAAAAATATTTTATATACTAATTTTAAATATAATTTATATATTCGAACACAATATTTATTTATATATATACATATATAATTTTATAAATTTTAATTATATTATACATAGCATACAACATAGACTAAAATACAAGTTATAAAAAAATATATTATGAACCTTTTTATAAAATGTTGACAAGAAAACTTTACTATTATTTTATAAAGTTATTAATTTTAAATAATTTATTTCTTTATTTATTTGGATAGAAAGGTGTCGCATTTATGATTCACACTTAATATATAAAGATTGATTTAATTTATAAATAAATATAACAAATAAAAGTTAAAAGAATCTACATAAATACTTCTATTAAATAATAGTCTATAATAACACTCTTATAAGATAGTCACATTTAATATATAAGAATTGATTTTACTATATAATAAGTATTTAGCCTAGACAAATCACAAATGCATGCTAAAATATTAGTTTATGAATAAATAATTGTTTTAAAATATATAATTTTTTAAGTACTCTTAACAAACTTCTCATCAAATAAAAATGTTCTCCTCGAAAAGAAGTTTGTAGAACATTCTAGTACAAGATAATTATTTACATTCACATAAAATATATAATATTAAATATATAAAAAAATATTGTTATAATAAATAAAAAGTTACCATAATTATAAAAATCATTCCATAAAATTTAATACATTGATTATCATTTTTATAAAATCAAAATTCATTGAAAAATTAATCAATTAATTTAGTCAAAATATGTACTCATTATAATTAACTTAATTACCTTAAATAAATATAGCAATATATTTAATAAATAAATAAATAAAACAGAGAAAAACTAATAAAATATAGGAAAGAAGAAGATAAACATGAGGAAGCTAAATTGCTAATGATATTTGTCTAATAAAATCTTTTGTAACATTATATAACTGATAATCGATAACAGAATCATAATTGATAACCATAATTAAAAATTAATTTGTAATTTAAAAACTAAAAAAGATCATATTTGAGTGAAGGTTCTGATTCATTAATTATACTCTTCAATCTTCATCCTCAAACTCAGAAAAATCCTTCTCTACGTCGGTGGTTGATCACTGTCTGTTGAAGTTGCCATAGGGAATGATAGAAAACTCTCTCTATAGTTTATATACTATATAGCCTCTAAATTATATTCCAAAACATCAAATGTATAACAACGGTTAAGTATTTTACCTTTATTATTAAGCCTCATTAATGAACCAGTGTTATTTAGTCCCAAAATTTCACCATATTTGGTTACCCAAATTGGGAGGATATGATCCAAAAAATAAAGATTATCATAAGGGAAAAAATATGATTTGGTCCAAGATGAGTGTACTTTATATTCCTTCATTATCCATATTTGAGCCAAAGTAAACCACTCAAACAAGAAATCCAAACACAGACATTTTTCCACTACCCTTAACTTGTAAAAGCTGAGTAGTGGGATTTTCAACTCTTGTGGAAATGGAATCTCTGATAACCTTCTTTTTATCATACTAAATACAATAATTTTGCGATCTTCCATTTTATTATTTGAATAAACTAACCAGTGAAGAGCACCATTCAAGAATAACTCGTACTTACTTTTATTTTTATTGGGCACATAATAAGAAACATTAAATTGAGTCCTACTCCATGAATTTGTCCTTAAGGAGTGTAAGGGTTAGAGAAGAGAGAAGAGAGAAAAGAAAAAAAGAGGAAAGAGAGATGTATTATTGCTGAACGTTACAGAGTTATTACAAGGTATATATGATATGTGTATTGTGAAAGTCTATGGGCCTAATGGGCTTTAAATAACTATATTCCCTTTACACTCCCCCTCAAACTTATGGGAGAATAAAAGTGAAGCCTAAGTTTGTACATACAGTTTGAGAAGGAAGGATAGGTATGAGGTTTTGTGAAGATGTCAGCTGTCTGCT